ACAACCCCTTTTTAGGAGACCCATGGGAGACGAGAGAAATGTAAATATCCATGATGCAGGATTACTGGACCAAGAGTGCATTCAATGTAGTGCTCTTCATTTTAGAGAAGAACTAACGAATAATCATTTTATGACATGTTGCCATAACGGACTTTTTAACCTTCCTCAGCCAAAAACTAATGAAGAACTTAAAAATTTGTTTGAAGAGAGCCCACAACTGTATAAATTCATTCGACAATACAACAGTGCGATGGCTTTTGCTTATTTTTCAGCCAGTAAGAAAGATATTCCAGGAAAAGGACCATACTGTTTCAAAATTCAAGGACAGATTTATCGTTCAATCTCAGATTTGCTGCCTCAACATGATGAAGACCCCTTGTATGGCCAATTGTACATTATTGACACATCAACAGCAACAGAAATTCGTCAAAGGGGTCGAGAAAATAGTGACTTAAAACCTGAAATATTGTCAAAACTAGCTGAAATTCTATTAGAAAATCCATTTGCACAAATTTACAAAAGAGCTTCGGAAGAAATGGTTGTACAAGGTGACAGTGAATTAGAACTTGGTTTGTAGACAGGATAAATATGGATCGTCGTAGGTATAATAAGCCTACTGCAGATGAATTTGCAGGCGTCTTCAATTCATCTGAAGGCGAACCTCCAATTAATTTTTAAAATTCCAAACAGAGAAGCTTTTATTTATCCTCATTAACCACAAGACCAAAGCTACCTTAGTAAACCAGTATTTATTCACAAACAATGATATGTTTGCTGCCTTTTCATGTTAAACCACTGGAGTGATTCAAATTATTTATTGAAAATGACTTCAACAAGAGCAAACAAAGAAGAACAACAAACTGGTTTTTACACAAAAGATATGGTGTAGGGATGCCTATTCTGACACATAGATAATGTTATTCTGAGTTTGTTTAAATACCGGAATTGCAATATGTTGTTTTACATTTCAGCTTTTTAGGGACTTATGTCCCTACAAGCCACTAGTTAATATATAGATACTTAATATTAAAATCAATAAAACCAGTTCATACACGGATGTTCTAGTAAAAAACTTAATATTCTCTCCATCATTTGTAGTGGGATGTTTAATGGTACAACAGATACGCAATAATCTGTTCCAAAGTTGCGGTGTAGCTTGACCTTATTTCCAGACGAGTGTAAGTTAGATATGCAAGTAGGAGCAGGATAAATTCCAAGTAAATCAAATCAAGAGTCACAAAAAGGACATAAAAAGATATCAGAAAGTGAGGACGTGGGATCATCGGTGGAAGTGACCATCTTGGGGATTTCACAATAAGATAGTTACTTGTTGTGGACCAAATAAATGGGAGTTTTACAAAGGTCTTAATTACCAGAAATTGTGATGCTTAAAATTTATTTTCAGAAGTAAAATTATTGGAGGAAGAGCTAATCCGTCAAAGGTAAAACGAATGCATAAATAAATACAGTAGTATGCATATTCAAGGAGCTGGACAATAATGGATTCTCCTCTAGAGAATGAACTTCAAGAGATCTTATGAGGTTGGGTTGATTGACTTAAATAAAACTACAGTGAGATAAAAATTTACCAGGAACGTAAACATTTGTTTATACCAGACCTTTGACATACTCCTGAACGTAGTACGTTTTTTTAGTATGAGGAATCGTCAAAGAATTTCCCTACGACTGCTGTCTCACACTTCAATATACCTACTAGAGTCCATTTTCTAACTGAAATAATGTCCATATTATTTATTTAGCCCCTAACTATTACTAAAACATTATTTAAGTCAGTTAAGCCTTAAAACACATTACAAACTGTTCAATCATTGAACACGCATATTAACCTAGAAACGCAGAGAAAGCGGAGCGTTAAAGAAGCTAAACAAAAGGTGAAAATTGTCCCCTCCCCTTGTAATTTGATGGGGAGCGCGCCCGCGCTGCACGCGCCAGCAGGGAGGGGGGTGCACCTTGCGGACAGTTGGTCGGCGTGCGGCCCGCTCGTCCGGAACCACTTAATAACTGCATATGGTGCCTTGGACCAACCCTTGCCAAATATCTCTTAAACACATTATTTAGTAAAGGAAATTGGTATTGGACGATTAGCCTGCAAGTCTAATGCCTGCAGTCTAGTTAGTGGGAGTTGCAGCGTCACGCGTTATGTAGCATTACGCGTTACGAGCGTCACGGCTATGGAGAGTAAGTATAGGGACACTTCCTTGTGATTACGTCCTTGGGGATCTTCAGGTATAATCCCCTTTCTGAAGATTAGACTAACTACCCACTACTTAATACTCGAGGAGAGCAAACTTTTGGGTAAACATGTCTCTCATTCATTACCCAATAAAGAGTATTACGACTCGAACTCTCTAACCTTTTTTCAGAAAAATTTGTTTAAAATACATTAACTATGGAGTTTATAGTTCGACCCGTGAATTTACGTTACAAAAATTGAAGAATCTTGTTCTTCAGGAGGCAACAGCTTCGTTATACTTTTGAAAGTACCAGCTACTATTTCGATTGTAGCTTATACACAAGATGGATTGATGCAACACGTCAAAACGTCGGCTAGTTTTTTCGCCGGTTTAATGCAACAACCAAGGTGAACAATTTCAATGGTTGATAATTTAACGTCGTGATCATCCCCCAAGATTGAGTCTTCTTTAACCGTAACAATCCACCTTCTATAGTCTGTATGATGGAACCTGTCTCCTGGGCCTATGTCTACCTGGGACCGGCTCGGGCCTTAAACCATTGGCCAGTCTTCAGGTAGAAGAAGGGGCAAGAGACAGGTTACATCATACAGACTTATGTAAACATTTACCAAGATTGAAAACTGATTTATCCCCTTTCTGCATGGAAAATTGCCTACTCGTTCATTTCATTTTCCACAAGTACTGTGGCAGCTCTACAGTTCAACATTTAGGTACCGTTATACCCTTCTCACCAATCATGCACTGGTTTCAAAATACAACTTTTCAATTGCAGTGCAAATTGAATGTATTGATAGTGTGCTCGAATTTCATCTACGAGAATCGCTCTTTATGCAACTAACTATTTTAGAACACAACAGCACAACAGTGATGGCTATAGTTATGGGAAGTAAATGATCATTTCTTATAATCTTAGTAACAGGGATAAATTACTTATTTTTCCCTTGATCACAGTTTTTCATTCTCTATTTGTGTGTATTGTTTCATTTGGAAGCATATTTCGAATGTAAATCATATATTTTTGTTTAACCTTTTAAATATAAAGAGAATTATACGTTACTTAGCTTTTACATCTTGATAAAAAGTATCGTACATAAATAACCGTCTTGAGAGGCTCTTCCTCCGGGAGGAGGTTTCTCAGCGCCGAACCCGCCATGGAAGTCTCCTTCTTCACTTTCTCACAATTAGACTTGAGTTGGGAAGGAGAAGCTCCTCGTACTTCGGTCCAAAGCTGCATTTGACTACCCCTACTATGGCCTCAAAAAATATGCCTTACCATCTTATAGGGTAAGAATCAAAGAAATATACTCTGACTAATATTAACTTATTTTTTAGATTGTTTTTTTCTTATTTTCTTCCCGTACTCAATCCTGAAAGTGTGAAACTCGCTTTTATGTGTTCGTCTTTGCCCCGCACATTAATTTTCATATAGGCTAATGATCGTGAAGCCTACCCAAGAAAATCCCTCTTCCTCTACTGGCAATGAAATATTTCTTATTACTAAACCAAATGACTACAGAAAAACGGACCAACTGATTGGTTCGGGCACAGTTTCCGTCTACCTGGGATCACAGATTCGTTAACTCAAACTGTTTGATGTTTAACTACGTCTACTTATTATTAGCAAGTTCCTAAACTGCGTAGTTAACTTCTTAATAGTAAATTAATTCCCACCACAGGACTTACACCTGATGCGGTGACGGAAGTAGGGTGAAACTGGAGCTACTCGCTCGACCCTTGGCTTCCTTCCGGCGGGGCACACGCCCCCACGCGCGGGAAGGTCAGGGGTCGGTCCTGGGAGGGTGGACCTGAAGAACAAGTAGAGTAAATCGTTGACCCTTCAAAGATACGAAACCGTATCAGGGTTAAGTGGTAATCATGGCAGCCTATGTTTTTACTTTTTTTGTTTCAGCAAATTGATATTGAATTACTGATTACTTATTTATTAAACATGAATGACTTAGCTTAAATTAACAGCTTGAACTTAACATTGATTTTAAAATAATAAGACGTTTAACAACAGACGAAATATTTTACAATCTCAATACATTTTTTATATAGGTTTAACAATAATCAGTTATCTATAATTAGTAGGAGCTGAAGTCTAAATAATCTTCGACTGTATTAATATCTAAAATGTTGTGAGAAATCTACGTTAAGATGTATTTTAGTGTTATTCAATATTGAATATCAGGAAAAGATGAGTATGTATCTGGAAAAACCATTTAACCAGTTAAAGTTGGAACCATGTTAATTAAAATTAATTGCAATAGATTACTTTTATAGATAGTTATAGCCTGGTTGAGGCATGTAAATCAATCTTTATTGAATAGATATACAATTATAAAATTAATGTGTTTTAAATATTGTAAATTAGTAGTTTAATTGGACAAATAAGTCTTAACATTTCATAAATTACTTTTATACTAGTAATTTTTCATTTATTCTTGGCATGTAATTTTTTCAGCATTAGAGATAAGGTTTGATAAGCTTTGATAAGGTTATTATATTTGCCGTTTTGGTTTGTAGACGAGTTTTGAGGCCCCTAAAATGTGCAATTTGCGCACGGGCAACTCGTATTTAAAAATTTATTAACAACTAGTAATAAACTAATTGACATTAATGGTAAAACTAATTTATATAAAAGACTCCCGCTCACGTGTGGATATATGTGACACGCAGGGAACAACTATGCGTTATGCAACGCTGAATGCCATAACTGATGGCTATGTCCGAGTATATAAGCTCGCTGGACTGAACAGACAGCACACAAACCATCCTCAGCAACATGATGAGGTGCCTTCTAGTCCTTCTTCTGGTAGCTGCAGTCTTTGCCGAGGAGAAGAAAGCTGACGACAAGAAGAACAAGAAGAGAGGAATTTACGACTTCGGTGGTCACGATTTTGGACACCACAACTTTGAAGGTGATTTTGGGGAGCATGACTTTGAAAAACACGATTATGGTGGACATGATTTTGGAGGTCAAGACTTTGGAGGCCACGACTTTAGCAATCATCGCCACCACGAGGTGAAGACCATCACGATAGAGAAGGAGGTGAAGGTGCCGTACCCGGTCCACGTGGAGAAGAAGGTACCGTACCCTGTCAAGGTGCACGTCGAGAGGCCGGTCCCATACCCTGTGGAAAAACCTTACCCTGTGACTGTGGAGAAGAAAGTGCCTTACCCGGTCAAGGAGTACATCCCTAAACCTTACCCTGTCGAGAAGACCATCCATTATCCAGTGAAGGTTCCAGTTGACAGGCCATACCCCGTGCATGTTCCAAAGCCTTATCCCGTCTACGTAGAGAAGAAGGTGCCATACCCTGTAGAGAAACACATCCCTTACCCGGTCAAGGTGCATGTCCCCCGGCCTGTCCCATATCACGTTCCTGTTGTCAAACACGTGCCTTACCCCGTCGAGAAGAAAGTTCCTTATCCCGTCAAGGTGCCAGTTGAGAAGCCAGTCCCCTACCCTGTGGAGAAGCCTTACCCCGTCTACGTAGAGAAGAAGGTTCCCTACCCGGTGGAGAAGGAGGTGCCGTATCCAGTCAAGGTTCCGGTTCACATCCCGGTCCATGTCCATGAGCATCATGACCATGAGGAACATCACTTTGGGGAAGAAGTACACCATGAGCATGAGGAACATGGGTTTGAAAGCTCTCACTCGTCTGGTCATGAACTGTAAATGCTTATCTGATTTTATACTGCATGAAATTACAATTTTGCAAGGAACTGTTATTTGTTTTGTAATAATAAAATTGTTTGTGTTTTATTATTGGAATACATTATTTGTATACAACCCTTTTATTTTGGTTCATACAGTATAGACATCCCATCTATATAGGATTGTAGCCATTTTCCTTTTTCATAAAAAAAAAATATATTTGAATGAGCCACGCAGTATTAAATTCTATTTCGACCTAGTGTTAGTTGATGTGAGACGAAAGATGGTATAGCTTTAAGACACTCGTCAACATTTTCACCAAGCAAAACTTATATAATTGGTTAAAGTTAATCAACAGATATCAATAATTAACACCAGCATATTCTTTTGGTGTGCCAATTAAACTACGTTCTAGTTGTTTTTTATCTGGTGACAACTTTAACATGAGAATGAAAAGTCTAGCTCAATAAATATAACACATGAAATGAATAATGATTATCTGGTTCATTTTGACAGCTAGTCCTAAGCATTTTCAAGCCATTTTTGTCTGGGGCAATACAACATCTTTTTTCTTCTTTGTAGTTGAAATGATTTTTTTTACTGAGCACTAATAATAGTTGTTGTAGCACTATGCCTTTGATACAAGATTTCACATACACTCTTTTTTACATCATAAACCAGTAGATGTTAGATATGAAATGTGTATGATAAAGAGTAAACTCAAGTAACATCATGATGTATACCCCCTACTGTCGCAAGCGTTTGAGTGACAATCCTTTCTAACTGATTTGTCGATCTAATCAAAACTAAAATTATCGACGAAATTGAATCTTACATATTGGGTTTTAAACTTCACTGCTATTGTGCCTTTTTTTGTTAAAATTGTGATTTAATATTGAATTTTCTCAAAATATCAATCAATTCAATCAATCTATCAATCAATCAATTATTTAAGATGAGGACGCCACTGTGCGTATTTTAACCCTAGAAACCCTATAATGGTGGAATTGTATCAAATAAATTTATAAGCTGTATTTCAGAATTTGTATTTAGAAGCGTTATAAGTTTATTTTATCAGCTTCTAACATAAAAGGTACATCTGACCAAATTACAATTGGTCGCGCAAAGCGAGCCAATCTCATAGTTTTTTTTAGCTGAGAACATTCCATTAACAAGTAGGCCTATAGACGACAAAACTCAAGAATCACGGTTCCATGAGGGATTCGAGTATATCAATACCAGACTGGTTTCATTCTAGCCCCTTTAACATAATATTTCTAAGTCCGTAAGGTTTGTTTGACAAAAAACACGCGACCGTGGAAACAGTTGCACAGATGCAGTACATTTTAATATTTACGATAATATTGTCAGACGTTGTTTTTTTAGCAGGATTTAAATTGTCGTTTAAAATAATAATAGTAATGATCTAATACTCCAGAAAATAACATAATTGTAGACCTATTGGTACTTAAATAAAATATACAGAGTGAGTTTTTAATGATTCCCCCCTCTACTTTTTTCTACATTTCTTAAGATATCAACTCCGGACCAGGTCAGATCATTAAAGACTAGTAAGTACTTAATTTTGACTGGGTATAAATCTTTGACCGCTATATTGGATCCGCCATATTGGATACAAAAATATTTTCACATGTAAAGGTGGGGTTGTGGCCCATCGTTTCAAACTAGCTTTTTACGCTAAATACGATGCTGCAATCTGTTTTTCAAAATCTTAATCCGTTAAAAAGCTATTAGGAATTTTCTAAAATAATATTTTGTATCCAATATGGCAGCTGAAAATATCTAAGTCGTCGATAAGAAGAAAATATGGCCCGAAAATGGCTTTTCCTATCAAATAATTGAGACTACGGGCATATTTTAACATTAGGGTATAAAAGAACTGATTAAAAATAAACTTTCAAAATTCATTATACATTTTCAACGGATCAATATTTTGAAAAACGGATTGTGGCATTGTACTCGGCGTAAAATATTAGTTTGAAATGGTTGGCCACAACCCTACCTTTACATTAGAAAAAAACACTTTGTATGCAATGTGGCGGATCCAAGATGGCGGACAAAAATGTATACCCAGTATAAATTAAGTACTTACTACTCTACAATGATCTGACGTGATCCAGAGTTGATATCTTAAGAAATGTAGAAAAACGTAGGGAGGGGGAACTCATTTAAAACTGTATAACTTAAGAATTTTAATTATTGGTACCAAATTAAAACATAGCAATTTCCAAAATACAAAATAGCTTTCTTTCAAAATGTTAATGTAAGGTTGTAATGGATTATGGGTGAATTGACTACGCTAAATTGGATTTTCGTCGATAATGACATATTAGATATGATAAATTTCATTTTTTCTGTATAACATTGTTTAATAAACCACTATAAACTGTAGTTCAACCATCGTGGCAGCAAACCTGAGTACTCACCGACTCGAGTGTATCTAATAGCATGTTCTCTAGCTATTAACTTATTCAAACAAAATTGTACGAAGCAACCATTAACTTGCTTAATGGTGTGACGAAGGTATTTATTTACATCAGTTTCTAGGTCTAGGTTGGAATATTTCAACTTATAACAGACTTAGTATATAAAAAATGTGAAAGATGATAAATTTTTTTGTCGAATTTCTTTGTTTTTGAGAGTTTACCAAATCTTTAAATTGGCTCAAATATTAGGGTGGCCTTGGATCGGAAGTGAGCTTGGACTCATAATAACTTGGGCCCATTAGCACATTTACAGGTTGGCTGTTATATTTTTGAGATGATTTCAATTAATTTTGTGTAGAAATAAAAATAACTAAACGTCCAAGGGTTAGCTGATATGTCCAAAATTACGAAGAGACTTATTTTTGAATATGTAAATGGTATAGACTCTTTATAGTACTTATAAAATAGTAAAAAAATCTAAACTATATTTTTATGTTAGGAATGTTTTTATTCACTTATCGATTTGCTTTTGAATAATCATACTAAACAAAAAAACTTGTGAGGTAGGTCCACTCGCCATTTAAAGCCTAAAATGGGAAATAATGTTTACAGAAAATATCAGTAAACCAAGTACTGATACTCCGCATTGCACATTAGACAACTCGTTGTAAATTGATATACGTAAATTACACATCAAATCATAAATATATGGAATGGATGAATATTTCTAATTTCAATATACTTTTCCATTGTAAATTATTTGGTTGTTCAGGTGCTTGTAAGTATTAATCTTGAATTCCATGTATTTTTTAATTATTTTTGATAAGGACAAAATGAAATCTTAAAAATAAACACATAGGTGGACTGAGCTGGTAATACTGTAACTATCTTTCTGACCTGTTCAGTATAATGCTGGTTTAAAGTAACATTATTAGGACTAAATGAAAATTTGAAAGGCCTGAGTGTAGCCCCTTTGTTATTCAAAATATAGTTACTCAATATCTGCTATATAGAACTGCACCGACTGATTTGTATAGTCATGACAGAAAGCTTTCAAAAAAATATTTGGATATGATTTAAACTGTTGGGAACACATAACAACAATTAACAAGATTAAATTTATATTTTTAAACCACAATATAAAACATTTTTACAATGAAATAAAGTGACTATTCTCACTATTAGATAACTGTATAATAGTATTAATAGTTTGCGGCCAACTAAATAGAAGGAGCTTATATGGCTATTTACCTCATAATTAAGGATATTACGACACAATCTATGAAACAAAAATATGATGCAAAACAGAATTCGTTGTAGCCTAGACTTATTTATTTCCGTGTATTTCATTTAGTAGACTAATTACATTATGACACACATTTTTAAACCACATTTGTTTCTATGTTGAGTAACTGAAGCCCTTGAATGAAATGAAGGCCATCCTAGAAATGATATTGATGTTCTTGATGGAAACCATCAAAGTGATGTCCTCCGAAGTGATGTCCTCCGAAGTGATGTCCCTCGTGCTCGTGATGCTCGTGGACATGGACCGGGATGTGAACCGGAACCTTGACTGGATACGGCACCTCCTTCTCCACCGGATAGGGAACCTTCTTCTCTACGTAGACGGGGTAAGGCTTCACGACAGGGTAGGGGACTGGCTTCTCAACTGGCACCTTGACGGGATAAGGAACCTTCTTCTCAACGGGGTAAGGCACGTGTTTGACAACAGGAACGTGATAGGGGACAGGCCGGGGGACATGCAACTTGACCGGGTAAGGGATGTGTTTCTCTACAGGGTAGGGCACCTTTTTCTCTACGTAGACGGGGTAAGGCTTGGGGATATGCACGGGGAATGGCCTCTCTACAAGCACCTTCACGGGGTAGGGAATCTTCTTCTCGACAGGGTAAGGTTTAGGGATGTACTCCTTGACTGGGTAAGGCACTTTCTTCTCCACAGTCACTGGGTAAGGTTTCTCCACAGGGTAGGGGACTGGCCTCTCGACGTGCGCCTTGACAGGGTACGGTACCTTCTTCTCCACGTGAACCGGGTATGGAACCTTTACCTCCTTCTCTATCGTGATGGTCTTCACCTCGTGGCGGTGATGGTTGCTGAAGTCGTGGTCTCCAAAGTCTCCACTACTGAACTCGTGTCCACCGAAGTCTTCTATTCCTCTCTTGTCATGTTTCTTCTCTTCTTTCTTCTCTTCTATCTTCTTCTCCTCGGCGAAGACAGCAGTCACCAACAACAAGACTAGAAGACGCTTCATCTCCGCTGATGTCTACAGACGAGTGTGTCTGGTACCTAGGGTCTGGTGGGTTTTATACAGTTTCAGTCTTATAACTCCGTATGTTGGTCAATGCAATGCAGGCGCTTCCTAATTCCACGTCAGTATGGTTTCAATTTACGGTTCGTTACTCCATTATAATATTCCGCCGTATAGTGTTTGTGTAAGAGTAAATGTTCTTCTTATACATGAAATACACCGTTAATCCGTTGACTACTATTAGTAATAAACTAGCTGTGTGCCCGTTCTACGCACGGGGATCTCATCATAGTCAGTTAAAACCTTCTTATATACTAAAGCACAGCAGTTGGTTTGCATATTTTCAGATATGCTGACAAAACTATTCCTTCGCAAATACAGTATCTGACAGTTTCAAGCCAAAACTAATGCTTCGCAATTAAATGTC